TGTTGTTGTTCTTCCTCTCTACCACCATTATCATCATTATCGTCCTCCTCATTCACATCCTCATCCTCCTCCATATCAAATACCACTTGCCCCCTATCCTTAGGGATAATCCAAACATTCCTAGCCTCACTATAAATAGAAGATGCGGCCTGGTTTGGAAGCAAGCAATAGTACTCATTTCGCACTAACAAAGAATAGACATTGGTGTTCCTCGTACTAGTGATGAAGCGTAATGTGTTGAGTTTCTTTAAGTCTAGTAACATGTCTTCACTCCCTCCAACCGGAGTGCAAGACCTCAAGAACCCTTCTTATTTGAAATTAGTAACCAACCACGTAACCAATCCCCCATAATGAATCTCTCCGATTTTGGTCCCACTAATTATTGCCTTGCATCGCTCAATAAAAATGTACCCAAAATTCACCCTAGGCCCAAAATCCGACTTGGTAGCCATCCAAAGAACCATAATCTTGTCCCTTGTAAGTTTCCCAAGGTCTTGTTTGTTAAAAACGACATAAGCAAAAACCCTATGAAGAATCCTAAGGGCCGGGTGAATAATTTCACTAGCAAGCGACATCTTTGAGTCAAACGTTCTCTTATTAGCAATGGTTCTCCACCATGAAACCTCATTATAATCAGTCGGGTTGGAAAGGATTGGCTTAAAAATATCGGCATGAGGATAGAAACCAAGGGCTTCATTGAATTTGTGGAGGGTTAATGTACGCTTGACATTGAACAATTGGAAAGAGATGAGAAAATAAGTATCACCCGCCCTATTGTATTCAAATGTAGAGAAAATGAGTATCCTCGGCAGCGACGCCATTTTGACAAGAGGAAAATGTAGTTCTTTTTCTACTCTTTCCTAGAGCCAAACTAAATATTTAAATAATCGACCAACCTAATACGAGTATATGGTAAGTCAAGGGTCAAACCCAAAGGAATGAGTAGGTGCAAGCTATAGCCTATGTCAAGATAATTCGAAAAATGTAAATGGTTATGGTTGGTAACTAAGGTATCAAGAAACTAGATAAATCGAGGAATTCAATATGCTAAACACTGGGGATATAGGTTCCACATGCAAGCTCAATGATTATGCTGACTGATAGATCACTCAATCGATTCAAACATTACAAGGGACAAACAATAGTTGCAATCAAAGAAATCCAAAAGATATCTCCCATTAGCCAAGCTAGGGTTCACTATGAATGGCTAACAAGGAAAATCACAATCAAATTCAATTAATTAAAGCAATTCTCAAATCAAGGGTTCATGTCATTAAAATTTGCGAAGCAATCTAGATCAATCTTATAGGTTGATCACTCCTAGTCTAAATAATCACTTCCACAACTATGTCAACCAATTTAATTGCAACAATTCAATCAATCAATCATCATCACCTAGCAAAAATCATTAATCAAGCATGCTTCCTCTTCACCCTACCAACTAATCTACTCACTAATCATGGTGAAATTGAAAGACAAAACAAATTCAATCACAAACATTTTCATCTCTTGTTTAATCAAGAAGAAATTCAATCATTCAACAATTTCTCAAGCCTAAACAAAGATTCAAATCAAACATTCATGCATTAAAGGAAATTGCAACAAAAGTAAATTCAAAGGAAAGAAATCTCACAAACTTTCATTGATATGAAGAAGAAATCAAAACTTGATTGAACCAATGTTGTAATACAAATCAAAATCCAAGAATTTCTATCTCTACTTTCTCTCTAACTTCTCTCCAGTTTCTATCTCTAAAAACTAAGCAAATGAAAATTATCTAAAAGTTGTCTTTCCAAAGGAAATACAAGAATATATATAGACAAAGAAGATAAACTAATCGGTCGCAACCTCTGTAAGAATTTCCGCGGTCGCGTTAAAATGGGTACGGAACTCATAACAACTCTGCGGGCAATCTGGAAAACCCCGCGCCCGCGTCGAAGACCCCAGCGCCAGCGACTAAAAGCGCGACAAATGCCCTGCTCCCGAGTGTAATCAAGGGCCTGCGATCTCTCCAATAGAAGCGGTCTCTCCAAATCATCCGCGCCCGTGGCTAGACCACGACCAGGGTGCGGAGAGTTCCTGCCAAAAATCTCCATTTTTTTGCACTTTTACCGCGCCCGCGGCCTTTGGCAAAGGCTTTGTTCCTTCTCCAAGCCTTCTCCAAGTATCTTGATTCTTCTTTACTTATCCCTTTTGGCTCTTCTTGATCCCTTTGCAAAGCCCACTCCTTAAGCACCTATAAAAGTAATCAAAGAGAGAAAATAGAAGAGAAAAAAGAGCCAAATAAAAGGGAAACACGAAGAAAACCAGATAAAGGAAAGTAAAACACGAAGAAAGAAAGAAAGAAAGAAATAGAGAAACTAAAGGAGAAAAGACCAAAATAATAAAAGAAAGCTATAAAAATAGGGAGAAAACATCCTAAAAGACTACCCTATGAGTGCCATAAATGACAATCATCAGTCTTCACAACCATTAACTTGCATGTATTTCCGAGTTGCTACAATTGTCATGATTACTTGTTGATCCCCGTTTCTAGTGCTTTATTTGTTTGGTTTCTTTTTTTGTTAGTTGGTTAGTGTTTACCTTTTATCCTTAGACTTTGATCTAGCTTAGGCACATAATTGAGAGCGGTTGAGCATTACTGTTCCTTTAGGTTCGACCCTTGACTTTCCTTTATACTAGTATTTAGGTTGGTTATGTGTTTATAAATTTAGTTTGACCGAGGGAGGGTTAGTTTCAATGACCTATGTCCACCCCTCATCAAGCTGCCTGTCGACTGACTTCCTCTTCGCAGCTCGAGGAGATTTTTTGGCCGACTGACTCTTTCTAGAGCTAGTCATCCTCGTGTTGATTAGGTCCTTGATCGCATCCTTGAAACTTGTCATGAATTTCATGAGTTCATCTCAGGTTACTGGAGCCTGACCTTCTGTCGCCTTGGTATTACAAGGCGGTGGTCCAACAGACTTGCTAGTACCAAATTCATTGTTTACTCGTTCCAGCTTGTCTCTGGAACGAATTTGTTTGGACATGAGTGACCCGTTTGAGGCCACATATGTTTCGACGTCTATATCGTGGTTGTCTTCATGGTCTGTAAAGATCTCCCCATCAAATGTAGAACGACTGGGGTCTGACAGTGGTACTGATTCTTTAGCCATCTTTGAGGTACTCTCCCCAAAGATGGCGCCAAATGTTTTGGGTGTTTTTGTCCCTCGGGATAGTTAGAACTCGAATACTGGTTCGACGGCGCCTTTACCTGCAAAATAACAAAGACTCTAGGTGGTTGGATCTCCGTCTCCGACGATTAAGTTAGAACGTGTTGGAGAATGTAAAAAGGTGCGAAAAGTAAAGTGAGATCTTTTTGGATTCTGAGATCAGGTGTTTTCTCTGATGTGAGAGAATGTAGGGTAGTGTAATAAATGATTAAATGTTTCCCCAAAATGGGGGATATCTCCTTATTTATAGGGTCGTTGGAAAATATGCCCTCTTTTAGGTCACTCTGACCTAGATTTTGTGGGTTGTGTCGTTTTGTGGCTTTCTCTAGAATTGGGTCTTGAAGGCTGCAATTACAGCTGATATCTAAGGCTGACACATGCCCCTCTTTGATTGGTCCAAGTATCTAGGGTATTTTTACCCTAAACAATGGACATTCGAAACAAACATTTATTATTTTTAGCACTTGTTACTTATTATACAATTATATTCCGTGTTTATTCTAGGGCTGTGATACTAAGACACAACCCACCAATGCTCTGGATACAAGCCAATCTGTGAAGAAGCGGGTATATTAATCTTGTTTGTGTTAGTTACTTTGCCTTGTAATGGGTTTCATAAATGAAACCCATTTGATAAGTATTTATGTTGTTTTTACCTTCTTCTCATAGCTTTCTTTCTTAATAAATGCTTAGTTTCATACTTTTACTATGTGTTTTACCTTTTCTCTCTTATTTTGTTATTTTGTGCATTTTATGGATTTTCTAGTGTTTTCTATTTTATTTGTTCTCTTTTTTTTTTTTGCTTTTCTTTTTATAGATTTTGTAGATTTAGTTTTCATTTTATTTTATTTAATTTTCATTTTCATTTAATTTTCTTTCCTTTATTTTCTTTTCATTTTTTATAATGTTTTCTTTCTTTTATTCTTTGAATTTTGATTTTTTTTTTTCTTTTAACTTTGTTTGTTAATTAGAGTTCATTTTACTTCATCTTCTCCATGATTTTATATTGAATTTTTGTAGGTGAATGTTTCAGGTCCAATTCCTTGCGCTCACAAAATTGCGCCCTCAAGTCGGGTGGTGTTGAACCCACTGTGGAAGCGTTTTGGGACTGCCTGCTTTAGTGTTCATCACAAACTCGTTATGAGGGTGATGTTCGTGCCCACCGTCTTCTCAACCTCAAGCAACTCTCACACATCTCCAAGCAGCTGCCACTAATGCAGCCTTATATTAGCCGCAGTTCACCACGCAACACCAACTACAACTCATGGAAACCTCCACAACCACCTGTCCGCAACCACTCACGCACTTCCCCTGTTCCCCAACACACAACCAGCCACTAGTTCAGCTCCCAAAGTAGCCACCAATCAGCCACCATCACCACTCACGCACCTCCTTTCCTCGAGGGCGTCCTGATGGAAGTTGGTTATGCATGAGGAAGTGTAGACAAGGGGCAAGGTCGTGAATTCGGTGGGACTTTGATCACTTTAGTGGAAATCCACATCAGCACACGTTATACAATATGTCAAGCCGTTTGAGATATATTTGTGTATTTGTGGTCGTGTATTGTATACATGTTTTATTAAACTGAATTCCCACTTTTAAATCTCCTTTACTCTCTCTCTCTCTCTCTTTTTCTGTCATGTACACTCTCTTTCGCGCTCTCTGTCTTTCTCACTCTGCAGTTAAACTGAATTTTGCTGCTTTGAAGTTCCATTTTCGCTTCATTCAATCTCGTTGGTTCGAAGATCTAACACCCTTTTTGATCTAAAGAGGCGACAAGTAAGTACATATAGTTATATTGAATGAGATAATTAGGGTTTTGTGGTGAATTGCATTGGGGTTGTTGAAGATGTGCTCTTTGTATTGATTTTTTGTTTACAATTGCGATTTGTTTTAGGGTTCTTATGTTGATGGGTGTTAGGGTTTTGTGTTGAATTGGATTCAGGGTTATTGAAGATGTGCCTTTTGTATTGATTGTTTGTTTAAAATTACGTTTTCTGTTAGGGATCGTATGTTGCGGGAGGGTTAGGGTTTTTGTAAAAGTTTTGGTTTTGTAGTATAAGAATTGGTTTTTGTAAATGAATTGAGGTATATGTATTGCGCATGAATTTAGTTAGGATTGTAGTTGAATTGACTGCAGAGTTGTGGTTTTTGGTTTTCAGTCTAGGTTTTCTGTCTTGGTTTTCTTTCCAAAGTAGTTTAGGTTTCGTGTACAATGGAGAAATCTTAGAGAGGTACTTTCTCGGGTTCTTTCAATGGTGTTCTTCTAGTTTATGGTGAACTCTGTGGAATGAAGTGGGTTTGTATGTGGTTTTGATGATGGTGTCTGATGTGGGTTTTTGATGTTGATGTTATTGCTATATGTTTAAATTAATAATGGTAGAAGAGTTGATTAAAAAGTAAGTGGGTTACAGGAGCGGTTTTATTGTGGTTATCTTGTGGCTGAAGAGTTGTCCTAATTGAGTTTTGTTTTAAAAGAAATCTTTGGATGGTTTATCTCTTGTGGGATAACTTGTAAGTGGGGTTATTTATTATGTGAGCCTAGTCTAAAAGCTGCATTATATGTTTTGATGGTTTTTCTCATGTGATGGGGTTCGTAGATTGATGTAGCTCATAAGTATCTTTATGCTCTTGCATTCTGTTGTTAGATTGATGTAGCTCATAACTTTGTTGATTATTGTGTTAGTGGTGGTGAAGTGTATGTTAAATGAAAATTAATGCTTCTTTCTTTGACACAGCCATCTGACCATTAATGATGAAGAAAAAGCCATTTGTTCGGGATTTCTCTTGGAAAAAGGTGGACTCTGTTGTTGGTTAACCACCTGCAACATTATAAGCTTATGTTGGAGTATGTTTTTTGGCAGGGTTATTTGAAGCCTTTTGGAACATCAAAAGTTGTGAAAGCTGAGTCAAAAGCCCCTACAGCTAAGGAAAAGAAGAATTAGAGGGTAGCTAAAAAGAAAATGATTGCTGAGGAAGAGGATGCTTATGTATCTGGTTCAGGTTTGACTCAATCGGAGTACGATGATGATGGTAAATCTAGCGTAGGGGTAGGGACATTAGACAGTATGCTGATGCAGTATTTTAAGAGTAAGGGTAAGAAAAGGAAGAAGGTTGCTTGTGACGCAGGAGGATCCAAGAGGAGGAAGTTGGCAATATCCGAAGGACAGAAAGTCTGTGAAAGGGGTGAAGTGCTGATGACTCATTTTGAAAATGTTGGGAAGGTGTCAATTTGTGATTTATTCTGTTATGCTATCATTGATCAAGTACTTGCGTAGAGTTAGTTTTGCTTATAATATGCATGCGATGTGTGATTTGCTAACCTCATTATTTCTCTTTTTTTTTGTTACACAGCCTCCAAACATTGTTTGTAGGGTAGAATCTTTTTGCGAAGATGTGGACAACATCAGATCTGATGAACGTTAGTTGAACTTGGGGAAAAGCATGGATTTTGGAAGTCTGCTCAGGCTGGATATGAAGAACATTCCTCGCCAGTTTTGTTATTGGCTCATGACTAGAGTGAGGAGTGAGGGGACCCTAACGTTTGTTGATGGTGCAGTTTTGCCGCTGGATCCAAACAAAGTGTCTTCAATCCTTGGAATACCGATGGGGAAAAGGCCGATTCCTAGAGGGGTGGATATGGATTTTGTTGAAGAGACAGAGAAGGTGAATAGGATTATTAGTAGGTATGGTGTCGGGGTTTTTAATGTTCAACAGACAGACACGTATGTTTGAGACATGTTGATTGTTAATGATATTTGAAATTGATTTGTGTATGTGTGCCAGGAAATAGTTTTTGTGTTTGCTCACACCTTTTTATAGTCCTGCTTTCTTTTTCATAGCAACTCCCGAATATATCCTCTTAAGATTAATAGTAATAAGTTTTTGCATTTTCATATCAACTTCTGTGGTGTCCTAATGCTTGCATGTATCAAACATTGTGCCTGTTGTTTAGGGTAATTTTATCCCGCCACGTGGTCCAATCAGAGGATGACACGTGTCAGCCCCAGGATGGCCCAAGGTGGACCTGTCCCTGCTTGACATGTGTCACTCCAGAAACCTGGGAGGAATGGCGGCCTTCAGGCCCAAATCCCGAGAAAGCCGCAATGCAGCGCAGCCCACCAATGATTAGGGTTTAGTGACCTAATCATGGGCACAAATCCCGAGGACCCTATAAATAGGGAGATTCCCCTCTTTTGGAGGGCACGTTTTGACCATTTATTACACACTGTCCCTGTGATAGAGACATCAGAGCTTGGAATCCGAGTAGATACCCACCTAAATTTCCGCACCTTTTTCTCTCCCTTCAAGTTACTAACTTATTCGTCGGAGGCGGAGCACCACCCAACCGGTGTCTCCGTTTGTTTTGCAGGTACAGGCCGCACCGGATCAGTGTTCGTGTTGTAACTCTCCCAAGGGACAAACACACCCAAAACATTTGGCGCCGTCTGTGGGAAGAGTACCTCGAAGATGGTTCAAGAATCTGTACCACCTCCTAACCGTCTGGGCGATGACCCATAAGTTTTTACAGACCAAGAGGATGAAGATCCTCAGGTCGAAATTTATACAGCCGATGATGGCTCTCTGAAAACCAAGCGCATTCGGCTTAGAGAGACTCTGGAGCGGGGTGCCTCCCAGGCAGGTACAAATCGACCTCCTCGTCAGCCGGAAGGGGAGACCCATACGGTAGCTGGATCAGCACCTGTCACCTGAGACAAACTCATGAGACTCATGACAAGTTTCAAGGGTGAAATTAAAGAGCTGATCAATAAGAGTCGGGCTGGCCCATGTAGGGGTCAGACGGCCAAGAAGACTCCTCTGAAAAAGGAGAAGTCAGTCAGAGATCGGCAGCCCATTCCTCATCCAAAGGAGAAAGCAGCCGGGACCATTGACTGGTCTAAAATTCTTCATCCTAAGAGGAATACCAACGATACCCGCCGGACTCAACAGCCGGTGGGAAGTAAAAAATCAACTCTTGATGCCCAGGAAATTATCAACCGGAAGAGAAATCAACAGTTGTCTGAGTCGGCTTTCACGTCGAACTTTCCTGACAACTTCAACAACACCTCTGCAGGGAATGCACTTTCCCTGCATGAGAGTCAGACAGGCGGTAATACCGTCCATTTTGTCCCTCAGATGATTGGAACTGTACCGTATGTACCTACTCAGGTCTACGGTCAGTATCCCCCTCACTTCATGCAGCCAGCCCTCTTCGGAGGTCAGGCGGCATATCAAAATGTCCAGCCATTGGACTGGCAGCTCCGTCTGCTTCGCCTGGGTGAACAACCTTTTGCGTTCACCCGGGAGATAACCGAGGCGGCACAGCCGGCCAAGGTTAAAAATGTGTTGGTAGGTACCTATGATGGTACCACCAACCCGGAAGATCACCTCATGGCTTACACCAACCTCATGTACTTACAGGGGTTGGATGATGCCACTTGGTGTCGATGCTTCCCGGCTACATTGAAGGGCATTGCCCATCAATGGTTTGGCAACTTGCCAGCCGGGTCCATTGACAGTTTCAGGAAGCTCGCCTTCCTGTTTGCTTCCAACTTCTCAATGAACATCCCTGCTAAGAAAAAAAGTCTTGACTTGAGCACCGTTAAGCAGGGAGAGATAGAAGGGTTGCGCTCCTATGTGAGGCGGTTCAATATGAGCAGAATTCAGATTCTAGGACTGTCTGATGAAGTAGCTTTTACAAAAAATTTTAAGGGTCTGAGAGACGGGTCGACCTAGTCAGAAAAAGGGCTTTCACCTTACAGGCGGCCCTGAGGGAGGCAAAAATCGACATTCAAGCGACCGACCTCTGCTCGCCTGGTAACCAGTCGGACTCCAAAAAGTCCGACAAGCATAAAGACAGCCGGCCTGCTCAGCCCGCCAAAAATAAAGAAGAGAGCAAGAAAAGAAAAGAAATCTGGGCGGTTAGTGACTCTGACGAGCCGTCCCAGAAGAAAAAGAAAGAGTTTAAACCGTACGTCCCTAAGTACGAGTTTAATAAGGACTGACACTCCATCCTCATGGAAATTAAGGACCGGCTGTCCCTAGAGAAGCCGAATCCAATGAAAAGTTCCATTTAATCAAGGAACAAGAACAAATTCTGCCAATACCATGAGGAAGTTGGCCATGGTACCAACGACTACTTCAGCCTTCAAAGGGCGTTGGACCGTCTGGCTGACAAGGGGATGTAAAAGTCCTACACTTCTAAGTCCCCAGCCGGGGCAAAAAAGAAGAGTAAGGGTCAGTCCTCCAAGACTACCCCCAGCCTGCTAGTAGCTCGGATACCGATAAGGAGCCGGTCTACACAATAGCAGGCGGGTTCTCATGTGGTGGCCCTAACATTCGGGGCACCAAGAGCCATCTTCGAAAGATGGACAAAGATGATGATGAGCAGGCGTCTGCAAGCTCCTCCTTCCCGGACGTCTTGATCACTAAAAAGGACAGGGGCAACGTCCGCCGTCCGCATGATGACCCGGTCGTCATTGAATGTAAGGTTGCCAACCAGCTAGTTGGATGGATCCTTATTGACACCGGCAACTCATTAGACATCATCAGCCCCCGATGCCTACAAAAGCTGAAATACAATGTCAGCAGCATGCATCCGGTCACCCGCCCCTTGGTTGGTTTTGGGGGTGGGATGGTCTACCCAGCCGGAAGAATTGACTTACCCATCTGACTGGGGGAGAAAGGCCAAGGATGACATATTGTCGTCAGATTCTTGGTCGTTGAGGAGTTGACCGCCTACAACATTATCCTTGGCCGGCCAACTCTCAACGAATCCAAGGCGGTAACCATCCCGTCTCTCATGCTCATCAAGTATGCGAGGGATGACGGCTCTGTTGGTTCCCTTAATGGGGATCAGAAGACGGCCCGAGAGTGCTACCTCTCAGCCGTCAAAAATACTGTGGCTCCAGGCGGCCAGGAACCAATAGACCTTGACAATGTCAAGGATGCCGACCCAGTACCTTCCCCACCAACAGTCGCGAAGAAAAGAAAGGCACCTCTGCTGGTGGAGGTGAAGAAAGAGAAAACATAGTAATCACTGACCGTGGGTCAGACGAGCTTCGTCCCCAACCGGCTGGTGAAAACATTGTTCTAGTTTTTGATGACAGCCGTCCAGAACGTACTGTAAAGGTTGGAACGGTTGCTCATGCTACCTTGGGTGAAAGCTTGTACCTTTTGCTGAAGGAATTCAAAGACATTTTTGCCTTTGAAGTGGAAGAGATGTCAGGCGTCAGCCCGGATCTCGCTGTCCACAAACTCGCCGTGGACCCCAAAAAGAAGCACATCCGGCAAAAGAAAAGAAACCACAGCGAGGAAAGAAGTTAGGCGGCAGCTGCCGAAGTAAAAAAGCTGCTAGACGCCAGGTTCATTCGGCCTTGTAATTTTCCCGACTGGGTGGCCAATGTGGTCCTTGTTAAGAAACCGAATGGCACCTGGCGCATGTGTGTTGATTACACAGACCTCAACAAGGCGTGTCCAAAGGACAGTTACCCGCTTCCAAAGATCGACAGTCTGGTCGACTCTACAACCGGTCACGCCTTGATGAGCTTTATGGATGCCTACTCTGGCTTCCATCAGATACCCCTCTGGAAGAAAGATCAAGAGAAGACGACCTTCTTCACTGATTTGGGGTTATTCTGTTATACCGTGATGCCGTTTGGCTTGAAAAATGCGTCTGCCACTTTCCAACGGATGATTAATACGGTCTTCATTAATCAAATTGGGAGGAATGTGGAGGCGTACATTGATGACATGATAGTCAAATCCAAGCTACAGGCGGATCACCTTGCTGATCTCCGAGAAACATTCACCACCCTCAGGCGGCATAAGGTCATGTTAAACCCAAAGAAATGCGTCTTTGGTGTTGAGTCTGGGAAGTTTCTCGGATTCCTGATTGATCAAAGGGGGATAGACGCTAACCCCGAAAAGATACAGGCGGTGATTGACATGAAGTCACCCCGTTCTGTCAAGGAAGTTCAGAGACTCACCGGTTGTCTGTCCGCCTTGGGGAGGTTCCTCAGCCGGTCAGGCGACAAATGCCTTTACTTCTTCCAAGTAATCAGGAAGAAGACCAGGTTTGAATGGGAGGGACGATGCTGAGACGGCATTCCAGAAGTTAAAAGAACATTTGCATTCCAGAAGTTAGCTGACTTCATTGTTGAAATGACTCGTCCGTTGGCTCCGGATAATCTCGATCAGGTTAGGAAATTGTATGTAGACGGGAGCTCTACAAAGAACGGCTATGGTGCAGGTGTAATATACGAGTCTCCTGAAGGGGACAAATTTGAGTATGCACTACGCTTCAAGTTTCAGGACTCTAATGAGGCGGAATATGAAGCCTTTCTAGCCGATATCCGTATGTGTAAGGCGGAAAGGGCCATGAAAATTGACGCCCACTCTGATTCACAATTGGTCGTTAGCCAGTATGAGGGAAAATATGAGGCAACTCATCTGGCAATGATCAAATATCTTCAGGCAGTCAAAGAAGAGGCTGGGGCACTTGAGGAATTCCGTCTGAAGCAAGTTCCTAGGTCGGAAAACAACCAGGCGGATGCATTGTCAAAACTGGCTGGGGCACTTGAGGAATTCCGCCTACCATGATACGCCTCGGTCAGTATTTTGGAAAGTTCTTGAAAAAAGAAGCATCTATGAAGATCTCATTGGAATTCTAGATCGAAGCTCTACCTGGATGGATGGCATCCGGGCCTATCTTTCAGACGGTACACTTCCTGATTCGCTACAGGAGGCAGCCGTCCTGAAGAAGTGAGTTGC